GTGTTCTAACCTCTCTCCATTTTTCAAAAGCATCTCCAATATTGATCCTAGTTTGAGCACGTTTCTGCTCGTGGAGCTTATTAGAAACATGCAGAGGCTTTTTAGGTCGGGTACAATCACTTCTATCTGAACCACTTCTCTTGACCGCTTCCATCACTACAACACCTGTTGACCTGATAACTGCTCTCATATCTGACAAACCGAGGGGCATCCAAAACGGCCGTGTGGGGGGTCTTAAAAGCGCCTACCTTCTCTGGTCCAAACAAATCCAGAGCATTCAGGAGCAGAATCTAAAGTTAGAAGGAGGACATACTGGCTGCTGCATTGTTGTCAGAGAAGCCAGCACTTCAACATAGCATGTTTCCTTAATGATCAGAGAGTAAGATACCTTTATCATCTCACTCTCTACACAGCTCACTGATTGGACATTTAATCTGAAAGATTTTCTTCTTTTTAGATCCACATATAAGTACATATTTTTATATACTTCAAGTCCATGCACATGTGTTGTTGTTTTGAATGCACATTATTTTTCTACTTTTTAAATCTTTATCTGTATTTTATATTTATTTATTTATACTGTTACAGTTTCAGAGAGAAACGATCTTTAGAACAGACAATAAAGCTGACTTTGACTTTTAAGTTGATCCCCGCTGATCCAACACTGACTAACAATAAGTATTTAAATCACTCACATTTTCCTCTGCAAACTTTACATACATGGATGTATTTATTTAAAACAAGGACAGTGCACATTAATGAACATCAACATGTAAATATGTCAGATGAAGTCATATGTTATTATTATTATGTACTAATTTACATAAAACAAAAACAACAACATAAGGTGAACATGAGTCGACAGAGACACATTTATACAAGAACAAAAAGTGTCTGTGTGATGTTTAAAACACAGCAGGAGAAAGTGACCTGCAGAGTTAAAGTTTCTGCTGCAGGATGTAAAGAGTCGGAGTATTAAAGTGCTGCAGTTTTGCACATGATTATGATGTATTGATGTAAACTGCAGCCTGTAACTTTAAAGTGCTGCTGTGATTGCACTTCGCCCTAAATCAGCGAGTTTGCATCTTCAGACATGTGAATGCACATCCTGCTGCTCTCAGTTAGATACATAGATGTGTTTATGCATGCAGGGTTAGATGTATGTTTGTAGGCATAAAGGTCATGGATCTGGTTCGTTCTGAGCCACGGCTTCAGATGACCCTTGGAAGAGACAAAGCTGGACTCGTTTTCTGACGCTGCGTGTCTAACGGAGCATCATTATGGTGACATGAAGCGTCTCATTCTTTGTTTGTATTTGATCTTTCCCTCTCGTCGTGTTGCTGCACTTCTGTTTGGTCTCCTGTAAGTGTCAGCTGGTCGCCTCTGTTGGTGCGTGACACGTTGAAATAACGATAAAATATCTGAAGTGTTTTGCAAAAAGTTTAATCAAAAATATCTAACATTTTGTTTTAACATTTAGGACGTATTTTTTTATTGTAAGCGCTCTTTTTGTAACTTTTCAAAGTTGTATTTTTTGTATTTTGTCTCTCCTTAGTAAAACAAATCAAACTTCTTACCGCAATGACGAGTCCGATGGTCTCTGAGAGAGCTGCGCAGAAGATCAGAGACACGCAGACGAAACCAAAACACCTCTGCATCTGCAAAAGACAACACACACACATTAAACACAAAAAGACAAAACAAGGAGCAAACGTTTCCAGAGAACAAAAACTCAAGTGACAAAGACGAAGCACTGACTGACCTTTGAGTGTGTGTCTGTGTGTTTCAGCAGCTGGAGTGTGTGTCTGTGTGTTTCAGCAGCTGGAGTGTGTGTCTGTGTGTTTCAGCAGCTGGAGTGTGTGTCTGTGTGTTTCAGCAGCTGGAGTGTGTGTCTGTGTGTTTCAGCAGCTGGAGTGTGTGTCGGTGTGTTTCAGCAGCTGGAGTGTGTGTCGGTGTGTTTCAGCAGCTGGAGTGTGTGTCTGTGTGTTTCAGCAGCTGGAGTGTGTGTCTGTGTGTTTCAGCAGCTGGAGTGTGTGTCTGTGTGTTTCAGCAGCTGGAGTGTGTGTCTGTGTGTTTCAGCAGCTGGAGTGTGTGTCTGTGTGTTTCAGCAGCTGGAGTGTGTGTCTGTGTGTTTCAGCAGCTGGAGTGTGTGTCTGTGTGAAGGTTTCAGTGTTTGGGATGAATCCAGGTCTCCTCCACCTTTATAGTCGCTTGAGCTGCACTCCCTGCGCTGCTATTGGCTCGCGTCAGCAGCCCCCTCCCCCTCCTCCTGCAGGTCACGAACAGATCCATAATGAAAGTCAATGATAATATCCTATAATAATATCCAATAATAGCGTCATCACTCTCTCCTTTGTCCCCGTCGGAGACCTGAGATGAAATTTCAAAAAAGAAAATGTTTTTTCTGTTTTTCTGTCTGATTCATTACACGTTTAAAGGAGCACACGCGGTCCTGCACACCTTCACAACATGCTTACCTTCTTCTATCAGGAGTTTAAATCTATTATTTAATCATCTGATGTTGATTTAGACATCTTCATTCACGTTAAGATGTTTTTAAAAATGTCTCCAATCAGCTTTAAAGTGATAATATAACAGTGAAAAAATGAAAAAGTAATAAATAAATAATGAAAAATGAATCTTTGAAAATGTTTAGAGATTCGTTTTTAGTTTCCATCCATTCTCTCTGAGTGTCATCCAGTAAATCAAATCTGTTCCAAGCAGCAACGTCCGATGGTGAAACATCAACCGATGTAAAAGTGTAAATTCCTGCAGTTCCTCGAGTGTCCACTAGAGGCTGACTGCCGAAGCACAGGAAGTCACATAAGCCTCGTTTCCATCAAGCGGTGCGGTGTGGTTCAGCACAGTTTGGTACGGTTTCCACAGCCAAACGGAGCCTTGTACCCGGACGACAAAACAAGAAGTGTGTCTCGCCCCGCTTGGATTGGTTGAACAGAAAAGTGGCAAAAAAGAAGGACTGAATGTCAACTCTTATGCCAACTGTATGTTTTCTTATCATCTGTGCAAACTAATAAAAACATAAAAAAAATGTAAAAAGTAGGACGGTACGGATCAGTTATTCTGGGACCATTCCTAACTTTTACCGGTGGAAACGTTAAGAAATGCGTACCGAACCCGAACCGAACCGCTTGGTGGAAACGAGGCTTCACTCCTTCATTCACTTATTGTGGTTGTACTTTTAGAATTTCTGATGACAGGAAACGTTTCTGGGCTAACCTTAAAGCCGCGGTACGTAGCATCAACAGAAAGACAAAAATGATCCTCAAAGCGTCACACTCTTTCTTTGTCCGTCGTTTCTGCGCCGTTCTTTTTCACGATCCTCCCCCCCCAGATTTCAGAGGATGCCTGTCTGAAACATTCAGAGGACATCCACAGGTCGTTTTTTAAAAGATGCCAAAAAGCTTTAATATCCAGACTCATAAAGGTTGATGTTTTCTCAGCCCCTGAAACTGTTTCATTAAATCTGAAATGCCTGAGAGAAAACTCAGGATGGGATTTTAATCTCATTTAAGTATTTAACAGCAGCTCTCTCCCCAATAAAACAAATAAACACAGCGAGGCTAAACATTCACAATAATCTGGTTTTGATTCTAATAATCAATTTTAATAACAAACATTAACTGACCATCGTCACACACAGAGCTCACCTGGATCCCAGCAGAGACTCACTGTTACCCAGCAACCTCCTGTGTTGAAACATGAAGCCGATGCTGAAGTGTAACATCCTGCAGTTCCTGGAGTGTCCACTAGAGGCTGGCTGCAGAAGCACAGGAAGTCACATACACACCCATTCTAAAAAGCCTGTTTTTACAGCAGAGATGAACATGTTTACAGCCTGGTTCAAAAAACCAAATAGGTGTGATTAGCTCATGTCTGGATGGACACACACTGTACGGGGGGTGAATGTTTTGATGACTCATCAGTTTTGATTTGATGAAGGATAAGAGTTATTCACAATAAGGCGTGTAGCTGACCTGATTGACAGGTGGGCGCGGTGTAACGGTTTGTCAGGAGGTTTAAAACCCGCCTCAGCTCCAGCTCTCAGCCTGTCGTTAGGTTGACTGAAAGTTAGACTGAGACAGCATTTCCAGCATGGAGACCGCCATCGATGGGACTCCAGCGCCCCCTGCAGGAACAGACGGGTGACGTCACTCAGGCTTCAAACATTCATTTTTACAGTCTGTGTGTAAAATAGACATAAAAAGTGACAATCCCAGCAGACATAGACGGGCAGAGACATAGAATCGTTCAATATAATGTTTAAAACAAACTCCAGCTCCGAGGTCCTGCAGGCCACAGCTCCTCTGAGATAAACCGTCCTGTGCACGTCTCAGGTTACATTCATGAGGAGTAAGAAATGATCTCACTGAGGTCTCAAACATCTGGGTGTCAGATAGCAATCATTCATCTTCTTCACAGGATGACACAGTGAGCTATTCATGCAGCCGTCACCGTGGCTTTAGCATCGCTTTGCTTCTCCATCCTCGTGTGTTCATCTCTTCATTTTTATTATTTCTTTAATTTTGTTTTGCGTCATCAAGCTGCAGTTGGTCCCGTTTTAATCGTACGCTTTTCCATTTTATTTGTTTTTCCTGCAATTCCACGAGCCAAGCCCTGCAGCTGGTCCCAACACGTTTGGAAATTTAACCCAAACCGTTACAAACCAAAGTCCATGCTGACATTTAATGTACTACATTGTTCTGTAGGTGGATATATGTGTGTGTGAGTGTGTGTGTGTGTTTCAGTTGTTATTATGCTAAGTGTGCAAAAGTTCAAGCTCAGTAAATCAACATTTTTTGTCGAGATATTTTAGGTTCAAGGACATAAAAATATAATTTAGCGATTCTTTCTGTTAACCGACATGAGCCGATTCTTTGAAGCAGATTTAACGACGTAATGATGTTTATTTTGAAGTGAATTGATGACAGAGCTAAACGCAGATCAATGAAAGGCTCAGTTGACGTGTGTGTGCTGTTTGTGTGACCGTCTGGGTTGTGATCACTCCTCATTCAGATGGGATCGACGGACACAGGACTCTGGGAGACAAACCCGGTCTGGCTGGAAAGAGGGACATGGGTCAGGAGGAGGACTTCAGAACAGGTCTGTCTCTGTCACACTCACAAAAACACTCTGTCACTGTTTGAAGACAAACTCTATGATGATCTGAACTGATACTACTGAAGCCTTCATGTTTCAGTTAGCTTAAAGGTGACATATCCTCCTCCTCTTCTTCAGTTTAAATAAGTCTCAGAGCTCCTCAAAACATGTGTGTGAAGTTTCTTGTTCTAAATCCACTCTGATCCTGTATTTGATCATGTCTATAAACCCCTCTATTTCAGCCCTGCTCAGAACAGGCTGTTTCTGTGTCTGTACCTTTAAATATGTAAATGAGCTGTGTCTGACCACGCCCCCTCTCTGGAAGGGCTTGGATGTACTCGGTGCTTTCTCGCTCCATGTCCTATTGTTTACAGTGAGAAGGCAGACTCAGAGGGCAGAACAAACACCTAGCTATGGGAGTGTCACCCACCTGGGGGAGGGGCTACTGCCTTTTGTGATGTCATGAAGGGAAAATCTCCAAACGGCCTGTTTGAGCACACATTTTCTGAAAAGTGGAGCAGGCAAAAGACGGAGAGGATGGACTTTTCTCATCATTGGGGGGTTTGTAGACTATAGACACATATTAGTGTGTAGAAGTGGATTTTATAGAATATGTGACCTTTAACGATACTTCTCCAGACATTTCTAGAAGGATTCGTTTTCTTGACGTTTGGTTTTTTACCTCTTTTCTGACTCTCTTCTCTGTCTTGTTGAAGCGTTTTCAAAGGATTTCTTAGTATTTCTCCTTGAAGGCAAACATGGAGATGTCTGGAGATATTTCCACATATCAAGCCCTTCTGTTGCAGACGAGAACACATGCTGCAGATTCAGAAACAAAGCAGATACAATCGTCCCAAAGAAATGCAACGCCTGGAACGCACTGCAAACTAAGACGAAATGACTGCATTAACATTGAAGGTGCTGAAAATATAGAAACGATATGAAGTCAGAAAACACAAATTCAGAAAACATCTTCATTAGGACAAACACTCATCGTCTCATCCAGGCCGGACTCACTTTAAATCTTATAGTCGCTGAATATATTCTCTGTCGTCAAACTCTTCCACTTTAGAGCGCCCCCTACAGGCGTGCTGCTCTTCTGTTGAGAGGGCTGGATTTGCAGCGTTCGTCTTGATGCAGACGTGTTCTTCATAGATATTATTTATATATATTTATATTTATATATGTTTGCAGCGCGTTTGAAGTTGATGTCGTTGTGTTTCAACTTTTTGCAGCTTCGTCTCAGTCGTTGCATTTCTTTTGGAAATTGTTGTTTGCTTCTATTTTGTATCTGCTTCACGGTTATATCAGAACGTTACTCCTTTCAGCGTTCTCACTTGTCAGCCATCGTATCGCTGCCTACAGGGTAGCAAACTTTGGATGACGTTAACAGGCTGCTGTTTGCCTCCACAGGAGCCATGAGAATAGCAGATGGAGATATCATCCACACTGTCGTTGACTTCTTGTCCTACCTCAAACTTAAAGGTATGTTGATCTTCTGTTAGTAACTGATGACTGAGTTGTATTAACTACAAGCCTTCTACAAAATGTCTGAACAGTGATATGTTAAAATCTGAATGATGGAAAAATCCAAAGACAATGAGCAGAGGCAGACTGAGTGTGAAACGCATGAGTCTTATTTAAGAGGCTTTAATGTTCTGTCGGTCACGAGGAGGAGAGTGGAGGAAGGTCAACAGCTTGTTTGAAAGGCTTTATAATTACAGGACAATTAACACACAAGTGAAGCCTTCTGACATCACTTCAACTAATAAACCTCTTCACTGACACACAAGTCTCAGACCCAGAACTAAATCAAAGTTCATGTGCTCCTTCATTTTCCAACATGTTTTTACCTCTAACTTTAAACTGTTTCACGTCTTTAAAGATCCAATCAGTGAGCTGTGTAGAGAGTGAGATGATAAAGGTATCTTACTCTCTGATCATTAAGGAAACATGCTATGTTGAAGTGCTGGCTTCTCTGACAACAATGCAGCAGCCAGTATGTCCTCCTTCTAACTTTAGATTCTGCTCCTGAATGCTCTGGATTTGTTTGGACCAGAGAAGGTAGGCGCTTTTAAGACCCCCCACACGGCCGTTTTGGACGCCCCTCGGTTTGTCAGATATGAGAGCAGTTATCAGGTCAACAGGTGTTGCAGTGATGGAAGCGGTCAAGAGAAGTGGTTCAGATAGAAGTGATTGTACCCGACCTAAAAAGCCTCTGCATGTTTCTAATAAGCTCCACGAGCAGAAACGTGCTCAAACTAGGATCAATATTGGAGATGCTTTTGAAAAATGGAGAGAGGTTAGAACACAGAAAGGTTTACAGACCCATGCAGAGCTGGATAAACACTGAAGCTTCAGAGTCCACCACATGGTGACCCCAATTAAAATGATCTTTATATTTAGACTGATGTCCTTTCTTCAGTTTGTCTAAATGCTTCTCAACTCCTCTAGCCTCCGGACCCACCACCAGCTCCTCCCTGAAAAATAGCGCCCCTAATTTCTGATATTTTTCAACCAATCCGATTCATTTAATGCAAAATGGTGCAGTTTGCAGTTTGCAGCTTCCATTTGTACCTCAGACGATGCAAAACATCTGACGGGAGCAAGAAACTGAACAAAACTAACACATTTAAAAAAGCACTTGACTGGTTTGACACCAGAATTTTTTTCCAGGCACGACCCAATGGTAACACTTCCACGACCCACCTTTGGGTACCGACCCACCAGTTGAGAACCAGTGGTCTAAAAGACATTACCTGTTGGACTGTTGTGTCTCATATCTGACGTTTATCATGATGACATCCACAGGAGTTACGTATTAAACATATTTATGTCTCTGTGCAGTTTTTAGGAGGTGTGTTGCCTCTGTTGATTTTTAAATCCATTCCAGTGTTTTATTAAAGAAATCGTGAAGAGACATTTTCTGGTTCTGTTCTCAGAGTTTTGATGAATTTATGTCAGATTTGAATCAATGAAAATTCTTTTGAGAGCTGGTTTAGTAATGTTCTGTGTGTGTGTGTGTGTGTGTGTGTGTGTGTGTGTGTGTGTGTGTGTGTGTGTGTGTGTGTGTGTGTGTGTGTGTTAACAGAGATGGGAGCCTTGGACACCCTGCCGTCCTCTGTGACATCAGAAGAACTGGCCAATCCCTGAAGTTTGTGTCTTTGCGCCCGCTGTTTGTGTTTGTGCTGAGTGGGCGTCTCCTTTCACACCAAACATCCGATTCTTTAACACACTATCACTTCGGTCCGATCTTTGTGCTGCTGTAAATAAATCTTGAGATCCCCTGACTGAAGGAGGATCCAGCCAATGAAAAGCCATCACTGTATTATCATCTTCATATATATCATCATGGTCTGATTTCAGAGAGTGGACTGAATTAAACTATGGCACTGGACTCACTGGACAACTCGAGTGGATTTCTTTGCATCAGTCACAATCACAATATGTATCACCTTCAAATTCATTCTTCTAATTTTAATAATGGAGAACAGCTGTTAGTTCACGTTAAACATGGCTTCAAATGTTTGTTTGTTCACTACAATATGACGTTTTGTCAAGGGGTGGTTCATCGTTCGACTGATTTTATCTTCATCATCAAAGTCACTGAGTTTTTATTTTCAAACATTTCCTCACATGGATTCTCTCAGCTTCTAACCATGTGTAAGACCATCACTGCCAAGACATTTAAACACAGTGACTGTTGTCAGTGAGGTTTTATTGTCTTTAGATGAATCATTCTTCATCTACACTGCAGGACTCCCAACATGAATCCACCATGAGCACAATCCACTGGATCAGAACCAGACTCATGTAGAACAGAGACCTGGATCAGAACCAGACTCATGATGAACAGGTAGAAACCTGGATCAGAACCAGACTCATGTAGAACAGACAGAAACCTGGATCAGAACCAGACTCATGATGAACAGGTAGAAACCTGGATCAGAACCAGACTCATGTAGAACAGACAGAAACCTGGATCAGAACCAGACTCATGTAGAACAGACAGAAACCTGGATCAGAACCAGACTCATGAAGAACAGACAGAAACCTGGATCAGAACCAGACTCATGTAGAACAGACAGAAACCTGGATCAGAACCAGACTCATGATGAACAGAAACCTGGATCAGAACCAGACTCATGAAGAACAGACAGAAACCTGGATCAGAACCAGACTCATAGTCTGCAGAGCTGGATAAACACTGAAGCTTCAGAGTCCACCACATGGTGACCTGAGTGAGCATCCACTCTAGAGAGGAGGGGGGGGGGAGACAGCTCTCTATGATGTTTAGAATTTAGACTGCAGTACCCATTTTAAACACTAGGGGTCCTTTAAATAATAAAAATAAAAAAGGGTCCGGGAGTAGATCCTTGTGGCTCACCTCAAAGAAATGTGACGATACAAACAGATACAAACAAATACAAACAGATTCTTGTCGATTAGAGCGAGTTAATATGTTTCTGTTTACAGTTACATGATGAGATTTTCAGGTACAAACACAAATGTTCCAAGGAGCTTTAAAAAGACAGCACTTCATACGGATTGTCCGTTAATGTGAGAAGATGAAGGCGTTTCCTCTGAAGTCTTTAAATCCTCCGTGATCTTTTTCTGACAGAGCAGAGAGGACGGAGAGCAGAGCAGAAACACTCTCCTGTACGGACAGATCAGCCTGAAACACACACACGCACGCACGCACGCACGCACGCACGCACGCACGCACGCACGCACGCACGCACGCACGCACGCACGCACGCACGCACGCACGCACGCACGCACGCACACTGGTAAATGACAGTTTTAGACGATGCATTCAGGGCTGTGTGAAAAGCTGGTTAATGACAGTAATTACTTTTTCACACTGTTTCATGGTGATTCGGTTTTAAAGGTCCTGGTTGATTTTGCACAGACATTAAAGTGTTCATATCAGGACACCCTGACTTCTCTGTTTGTTACCTCTGTATCAGATTTAACAAAGTGATGTCTGCTTTAATTACGTTTACAGAGAAGAGGATATTTTCTACCTGAAATACGACCAGGTGAGATGAGAACTATAAGACGAGACAACATGTCCTGATGTTGGAGACAAACATAACAGTGAGGTCAAAGTTAAATAAATGAGCCTCCACTCAGGACGACTAAATGATCCATGATCTGTGTGGACTTGGTTTTTAAACTTTAAAATGAAACAAAAAAAAAATCAAAAGATACTGACACCTGTTTGATACCACAAATAAACAAGTCATAGAAACGCAATATTTTTGTACAATTTAGACAGTGAGGAGGTGTTGGCTTTGTTGATGCCTTGTTGACACCTTCTAGAAATCCCTAAAAACTCACCTCTTCTACATCGCCTACAATCGCCTAACAGACTCTGTTCTCATCCTCCTTCTCTGACATTAGTTCTTATTTGTTTGTTGTTCTTTTTCACTATATAAGTCTAATGCATTATTATTTTTATATTATTATTATTTAAACATGTGAAACGATTTCCTCTGTGCCTTTTTCGACTAGTAAACTTCACTCAGAGCTGTGAGAGAAATAAACAGAACGTTTGCATCTTTAATAGTCAGTATTTGCCGACCTGTGAATTTTAAAAGACCCCTGCAATAACATGTTAGAGTGACTGTTTGCAGGTGGTGTTCTCCTTGAACATCAAAATATTACGAACAGAACTTTACGTCAGGAAGAAATAGTTACCAGAGGCCCCCCCATGTCGGTCCGGACCCAGCCTGGGTGCAGAGACATACACAGGATGCCGTCTGAGCCCAGATCAGCAGCCAGACACCTAGTCACCATGTTCAGAGCAGCCTGTCGGGATAACAAACACAAACAGAGCATGAACTCCATCCACACACACACACACACACACACACACACACACACACACACACACACACACACACACACACACACACACACACACACACACACACACACACACACACACACACACACACACACACACACACACAGTTTCGTTATTTTCTCAATCCTCTCACCTTGGAGGTGCGGTAAGCGTAGCTCTTGAAGTTAGCACCTTCAGCCCAGTTGTGTGTGATGGAGCCGAGGATGGAGGAGACATTGATGACGGCTGCTCTGTGAATCCCCATCCCGGAGGAGCGAGCTGCAGCCGTCTGCAGCAGAGGCAGGAACGCCTGAACACCAACGACAAGCACAAACAATCAGCTGCAGACGTTACAGTCTGTTTACCTGCTGCAGACGTTACAGTCTGTTTACCTGCTGCAGACGTTACAGTCTGTTTACCCGCTGCAGACGTTACAGTCTGTTTACCCGCTGCAGACGTTACAGTCTGTTTACCTGCTGCAGACGTTACAGTCTGTTTACCCGCTGCAGACGTTACAGTCTGTTTACCGCTGCAGACGTTACAGTCTGTTTACCCGCTGCAGACGTTACAGTCTGTTTACCCGCTGCAGACGTTACAGTCTGTTTACCCGCTGCAGACGTTACAGTCTGTTTACCCGCTGCAGACGTTACAGTCTGTTTACCCGCTGCAGACGTTACAGTCTGTTTACCCGCTGCAGACGTTACAGTCTGTTTACCCGCTGCAGACGTTACAGTCTGTTTACCCGCTGCAGACGTTACAGCCTGTTTACCCGCTGCAGACGTTACAGCCTGTTTACCCGCTGCAGACGTTACAGTCTGTTTACCCGCTGCAGACGTTACAGCCTGTTTACCCGCTGCAGACGTTACAGTCTGTTTACCCGCTGCAGACGTTACAGCCTGTTTACCTGCTGCAGACGTTACAGCCTGTTTACCTGCTGCAGACGTTACAGCCTGTTTACCTGCTGCAGACGTTACAGTCTGTTTACCTGCTGCAGACGTTACAGTCTGTTTACCTTCTGCAGACGTTAGTCTGTTTACCTGCTGCAGACGTTACAGTCTGTTTACCTGCTGCAGACGTTACAGTCTGTTTACCTTCTGCAGACGTTAGTCTGTTTACCTGCTGCAGACGTTACAGTCTGTTTACCTTCTGCAGACGTTAGTCTGTTTACCTGCTGCAGACGTTACAGTCTGTTTACCTGCTGCAGACGTTACAGTCTGTTTACCTTCTGCAGACGTTACAGTCTGTTTACCTTCTGCAGACGTTACAGTCTGTTTACCTTCTGCAGACGTTACAGTCTGTTTACCTTCTGCAGACGTTACAGTCTGTTTACCTGCTGCAGACGTTACAGTCTGTTTACCTGCTGCAGAATGAAGAAGCTACTGGAGACATTTGTATCTCCTGTGCAGAGAGACGCCTACCTTGGTGACAAAGAGAGGAGCAACAGTGTTGACCTGGAAGCTCTTCATCATGGCCTCCGGGGTGACGGTGTTTAAGTCCGTGGTGTTTCCGATCGCAGCGTTATTGATCAGACAGTTGAGTCCTTCATTTCCAACGATGGACGCGACCTCCTGCAGCGCTGAGCTCACACTCTGCTCATTGTCCACGTCTGCAGACATCACAGCAAACTTCATTCACATGTTTCAGACATGTTTTTAAATGTGTTGTTAGGGTAGAATCTCTGACACGGTCATCAGAACTGTTTTTTACATTTTAACTGCGCATTAAATAAATCAAACTGAGACATGAAGAGTAATATAAATTACATTGTTTTATGTACATATTGCCCTAAAACAGACTGAAGATCTGTGTGTAATATCTCACAGCCCAACAGCGACTCACCTAGAGTCACTATATGAACACCTGGGAACGTTTTGGAGAGCTCTTGTAGATCCTGAGGGGAGAAGAACACTCAGTTATTCAGGGCAGTTTTACCTTTTTATCAGTATTATTTTAAAATAAAGCCATTACAGATTAAAGAGGTAACATCACTGCTGATACAGCATATGGTATTCTGTACAGTGTCATCTTGAAATGGTATTGAAAGAACACTTTCTATGTTTGTTTTCGGGCAAATTAGCCTCAGATCTGGATCTGTGAAGGTTCTCGGCTATAAAGGAAAATGTAACTGTAAATTGTGATTGAAGTTATTACCAACTAATAATAACATGGATCAGTTTGTTCAGCTGTGACGTTCTGCTATATGGGCTGCAGGATGAGGAAAATGCTGAGAGGATTGCAAACTATGGCGTCAGAGTGCCCTCTGTTGGACAAACTATGTGAGGACACCATTTCTAAATCCATCTGAGCATTGTGTTCTGCAGAAGTTGATCTGTTAAAGGTCACATATTCTGTAAAATCCACTTCACCATGTGTCTCTAGTCTGTCTACAAACCCCCCAATGATGAGAAAAGTCCATCCTCTCCATCTTCTGCCTGCTCCACTTTTCAGAAAATGTGTGCTCAAACAGGCCGTTTGGAGATTTTCCCTTCATGACATCACAAAGGGCAGTAGCCCCTCCCCCAGGTGGGTGACACTCCCACAGCTAGGTGTTTGTTCTGCCCTCTGAGTCTGCCTTCTCACCGTAAACAATAGGACATGGAGCGAGAAAGCACCGAGTACACCCAAGCCCTTCCACAGAGGGGGCGTGGTCAGACACAGCTCATTTACATATTTAAAGGTACAGACACAGAAACAGCCTGTTCTGAGCAGGGCTGAAATAGAGGGGTTTATAGACATGATCAAATACAGGATCAGAGTGGATTTAGAACAAGAAACTTCACACACATGTTTTGAGGAGCTCTGAGACTTATTTACACTGAAGAAGAGGAGGAGGATATGTCACCTTTAAAGCAATTTTCATCTTGAAGTGTATCAGTTGATAATACCAATATGTGAAAGCTTATCATATCAGCCAATATATATTTGAGGGTCTAACAATCACCCTATATCTCATCTATCTTGAGATCTGCACCACTGATTTTCACTGTAATGTTAACTTCGTAAACCTCAGGGCACTGTGACCAGTAGGTGCAACAGCTGAATCGACATATTTAAAGAAATAGTCTCATTTGCAGCGTGTTTCAGTCATTACCTTTTTTTCTTTTTTTTTAATGTTCCTGAATAAGCTGCGTGTTTCTCTAAATGTACATCGTTTCAGCTGTTGCCGAGCCTTTGCACCTACAGGCCACCGTACAGGGGCCAAGATTTTAACTTTTTATTAATTTTATGAAACAGATGAAACTGTTGATTCTGCTGTCACTGCTCTGTTTTCAGAGGCGGCTCTGCACGCATCACTTTGATTTTGTTCTGCATTATTTGGGAGATTTTAAATACAAAGCCATCAGAGGTCCATTAAGGAAAGTAAGGTGGAATCACTTTGATAGGATTCCAAAAAAAGATTATTATCCAGCCAGCAGTCAGATAGACATCTCTTCCTACACTGTATGTTTCTAGTGTATAAAACATCAACGCAAATACAGCACTCAGCTTTTTAGTGTGTGGTTATATTTACATCAACAGTACCAGAACACTGTAGTAAAGATCACTATTTTGTTTCCTTTCACTTCCTCTCTTATCCTACTGCACCTCCTTTAGTACACTTCCTGGTTTCTCCCCTTCCCCTTGATTGGTTGCTGTTCTCACTCTGACGCTCATTGCTTAGATTGAATTCACCTGCTCACTGTTTATTTAAGACTGCACTCCCTTGCATGTGTTGCACCCTTAAAATGAACCGGTCAGAACTCGTCCAGCTTCACTTTCCAGCGTTTTCAGCCTACACACACCTCTGTGTCTCCTTCACTGCGCCTCCCTTAAAGGGCCAGAGTCTTCATTTTAAAAGGTAGAATAGAATAGAAGAGATGTTTATTGCCATTTGCACAGGTACAGGACAGTACAGGTACATTGGAATTATTGTGCGTTTCTCCCTGAGTCAGCTCCTACAAAAAAAGTAAAAATTATACAGAAAATAGAAAAGCATTATAAGAAAAAAAGAGTAGAAAAGTACAAAAAAAAGTTAAAATAAATAAGTTGTAGTAACAGCTAAGTGGTTTAAAATAAACTGTAAATAAAACACAGTATTTACTGTTTACTCTTAGAAATTTAAATTAACTTAAATACTTCTGCAAATTAACTTATTT